TTAACAAAAAAACGAAGTCCAGATGACATGATTCAACCTTTTTTGTTCTTGTTACTATAATTACACAACGTAAATATAATCAGGCCTAGACTGATTTTTTTCTTTCTTCTGATATTGATGAAGAAAAACGGTCAGATTTTACCTTGTGTTGTTTGGTCCAAGCAGCAGTAGCAGCAGCAACGGCAGCAGTAGCACTTCCTGAAAGAAAGATGTCTTTGAAAAGTGAACGTAGTGCTTTTATACATTTACGCTGTTGGTGAACCTGTCAGTCAACCAATGGCATGCAATGAGATAAAGATTAATGCTGTAGGGGGGGGTTGATTGTGATCACCATTCTCTCTCAAGCTGTGAGCTGCTGAGGTTTGAATCAGTAATGAGAGTGATTGAGGTGTGTCATGAGGACTGGCCACACTGGAGGCCATTGCTCCTCATTGGTATTGTTACAGATTCTCACATTTCCAGTTTTGTTTGCCTCTGTCCACCTGGCAGATTGGTGTATTTGATAATATTTGAGTGGAAATGCTGATTTGGTTTTACATGAAAGAGTTTAGTTTAACTTATCTGATAAAGGGATCTTGATTTTGATCTGGCTATTACAACAGTTTGACATGTTTGATCATTCTGGGCTGCTTTTCTTGTGTTCACAAACCACAATGCCCTTAACATGTATATGTTGTTTTAGTGTACTGCAGGGAAAAACAAAACAAAAAATAAATAAAAACAAAACTGAATATGTAAGACCACTGGAGTTGAGTAAACCTTTGCACTGACCAGATGATCCTTTGGACTAAAACATTCAGCACGAATGACCTATCTGTGTTTAGATTTATTACAGAGAGAATATACACAATAAAGCACAGCAAAGTTATGATGTGAGGAAAAAAAACAAACAAACATTAAACTAAGTTATTTCATCACATTATAGAAACAGCAATATTTGTGAAAAGGTGATATAGCTTTGAAACTTCATAATGTGATGAAAAGTTGACATACGGTCTATGCGCCCACCAGTGATGGCATAGTTACATAGAAAAAGTAGCTTAGTTAAGTTACAGATTAGTCCTTGAAAAAAGTAACTTAGTTAAGTTACTGATTACTTGATTTGGAAAGTAACTAAGTTAGATTATGTTACTTTATTAGTTACTTTCAGCAGCTGCTGACAACAACCCTCTGCCACCTCAACATTAAAATTACATTGAGCTTTGCCAACACTTACTTTTGAACGTGCATTTTAACAGGAACATAAACAAAGTATCTCCTGCCATATAAAGTTGTATTTAAAAACTCTTTCAGGAAAAAAAAATACATATTAAAACTAAAAAAATAGTATTTCTTGACTTCATTAAACATAAATAATTTTATAAAAAATAAAGTAGTATTTCTAGACTTCAGTATCATAAAGAAATACTTGCTTTATATTTAAAAACATGTGGCTATCTTGGAAAGACAACTTCATACCTTGTATAAAAAATAGTGTCTTTCTTGAGAAGACAACATCATAAATGTTCCTGTTTTTAGTATTCTACACTGCCTCATAATCTAGCTGTTTTTTCGCTTATTTTCCTTTTAATCATTCTTTTAATAATAATTTTATTTTAATTTGTATGAATACAAAACAAACAACAATAAAAAAACAAACTTGTAAGCAGCTTTTATGATTGTCTAATTATCCATTGTTGTCCACTGCTGTCATCAGTCACTCTTTCTTTAAAATTCAGGTCTCTCTTGTAAATGAGTCCTCGTGGCTCAATGTGACTAACCTGTATAAATAAAGGTTGAATGAATACCTTGCCACTCTAAAACAGTTAAATTTCCTGGAGAACACCAAACCTCTCCTTTGGAATTTCATCCGTGTCGTGTCTCCACCGTGAGCCAACAAAGACCTATTGTGATGATTGGTATCTGCATATGCATCTAGCTTGGAATTGCTGCAGCACCAGTTTTAAGCCTCCAGTATACTCGCACATACGTCAGTCCGCAGAGGTCCGCGCGGACTGGATTAGACTCGAAGTGGACGCCCGCATTGCATGTCCGTGCAAAGCTCAATTTTTACAACCGTGTACGCATACTCCGTGTCGCACAATAAACTGCCCAGCGACAGACTGTTTTGTATGCGACACCAATGTATTAAATTCCCCTTATTCATCCCTGATCTGGCCTTTTCTTCTGTTTTGTTTTTTGCCAAGAGGCAAGAGATCTCTTCCTCCTCCATTGATGCCATGACTGAAATGGTGAGAAATTAAGGAATCTGTCCCGAGCTAATTAAAATCATATCCAGCGTGGCTGCGGGAGGGTCTGGAGATTTTTTGGTGGGCTGGTCTGATGTGTGGGCTGCAGGGCCACCACATATCAGCAAATGACCAGTCGACGACCTCAATTTGTCCTGAAGGTAAACGCCCCTTGTCTGTGGAGCTGACTGTAGCCACTCAGGTTGAACGCTTGAGCATGAAGTCTCAACCCTCTGCGAACAGTGCGCACAGTTTCCACGCGGCTGACAGGATGCACGAGTATACTAGAGCCTTTACACAGCAGGAGGTGGGTGGAGCATGTGATCATCACTTAATTCACCCCACTTGCTGCAGACTGACGAGGACTGACCTGGTGGAGTATAAAAACTCCTGCCAAATGTCTTTTCAGGGCTGGGATATCAACTGCCATTTGGTAATTCATGGACAGCCAACTAAACCTTTAATTACACCCGGTTCTTACCTGTTGTGGTTTTCTCCAGGGAATCCCATGTCCTGTTTGACTGAATCTTTCAGAAGACCTCCTTGCTCTTTCATGGCACACCTGTGGATCAACGTTGTCCCATCAACTAACATCTACAAACAATTCAGCCTGTGTCGACCTGCTCCTCTCTCCACCAATACTCACCTTTGCTTTGATCACTAAAAAAAAACAGGACCTCACTTCTCCCTCATTGGCCTCTTCTCCAAAAAACAACAGTAAGATAGTAATCACTGTTTCAAAAGATCATACTGCAAAGGACATCTTTGAATTTCCAATTACGCACCTTTTCCTCATCTTCACCTTCGCCTCTTCGCCTCTTTGCCTCTCGTGTTGTGGAGCGCAGGAGCTGGACTGGAGCAGAACCGGACCTTACCAGTGACAACTTCAGCCTTTCCAGTCAGTCTCGTCGTTTTTCATCGGGGTGTCTTCTCGTGTTCTCGGGTGCAGAGGTGACGTGCGGAGGAGCAGCGCTGTGTGGTACTCGAGAGAGGTTTGGAGATTGCATTGGAGTTGCTGCAGGCCTCTATCCAAACTCACCTGGATAATAATTATTTTTATTCCGGATCATGCTGTTGTCCCCTTTTGGCCTGAAACAAGCTAGGACCATGCCTTTCATTTCAGGAGGATTTTCTGGCAGCTCACTCTGCTATTTGCTGCGAAAGATCTGTTTCTTTGTTTCTGTTTCTCATGTGAGCATCCATCCATCTTTGAAGGGAGGCCGGTGCCCCCCTCAGCCCAACTCAAACTGCAGTTGGGCCACCTCGTCGGAGTCGTTTGTCCATTTGATTTGTGATGCTGTATGGTCTGAGACTTTTCTGCACCATTCATATTATTGTCATTATTTTCAGATCTCAGACTATCTGGAATCGCTGAACCTTCTTAATACACTTGGATCTGCCCATCACTGCAACTTTCCCAGTTTTTGGGTTCTGAATGATTGCGTCTTCATTAATGTTTCTCATGGTTCAATTATGGGGGCTAATTGTCACATTGTTAACTCTTATAATTACACATCAGTCACGAAAAACTCAATAAAATGTCTGATAATAATTCTGTTACTGCTCTCAGGGATTCAGCCCAACCCTGGACCCCCCACTAATTACAGCACACCAAATGACTTTAAAAACATGTCAGGATTTCATTTTCTGCATGTTAAATGCTAGTAGCCTTCTTAGAAAACTTGATTTCTTGAAAATCCTAGTCAGTTCTTCTGGAACAGATGTAATCTTCATCTCTGAAACCTGGCTTAACAAATCTGTATGGAATCATACCTGGTAATCAATGGATTTAACATTTATCGCTGTGATCATCAAAAATGGGGGGGGGGTGGAGTCGCTATTTACATAAGAAATCTTCTGGTTTCTAGTCTTGTGTCTGCTAAAACAACTCCAAACCAGTTTGATGCCTTAGCTTTAAACATCACTTTGACTGGAGGCCAGATCTTATATGTAGTGGGTCGTTATCGTCCCCCCTCAGCAACACCTGAGGCTGTGTCCTCCCTGATTGAATTCCTTAGAAATTTAAAATTCAAATATATTTTTTTAGCAGGAGATTTCAACATTGACTAGAATAAGTCGACCCCCCTTTGTGATAAATTCAAGGAATGTTGCCTGACAATCAATCTAACACAACTGATTGACTCTCCCACTAGACCATACAAAAACCATCCTGAAAAATCTTCCCCCTTAGACCTGTTTCTAACAAATATGCCTCACAAATTCCCTGATACAGGTGCATTCACTGACATTTTCAGTGACCATTGTGTAATAGTGACTCTCAGAGACCTTAAACTTCCACCTTCTAAGCCCAGATTAATTAAAAAAAGGATCTGAAACGCTTGCGCGAACAGTCATTCCTCTGGGATCTATCCCACTTTGACTGGCATCGTATTCTATTAACTGACGACGTGAACTCCGCTTGAAACTATTTTCATAATAGTGTCATTTATTTTGTGAACAAACATGCTCCTTTTTGTCAATTCAGAATAAAGGGACGAGTCAGACCCTGGTTTACTCCTGAGCTAGCTGACCTCTTGCACATAAGAGATCATCATTGGGCCGCAGTGAGAAAAATCTGGCTCAGACACTGATTGGTTGAGTTTTTGACAGATGAGGAATAAATGTACAACTGCCATCAAAGCAGCAAAACACAATTATTTCTTATCTCAGACCTCCAAAAATCTAAATGACCCTAACAGATTCTGAAAAACCATCAAATCTCTTTCAGGCAGCCCCCAATCATCTGACCTCCCACCACAACTTCTCGTTAACACTGTTCCTGTGTCAAATAAGTACGAGATCCTGAACTGTTTCAACAAACATTTTGTTGCTTCTAGTTCATTATTTTACACAGTTACTAATATAAAATGAGCCAGTTCACTTAATAACCAAACTTATACAATTCAGGTCCCTCCTCCAAGCCAATATTCAGTTAATTATACCTTCTCTTTTTCTCCATTCTGTAGTGGACTAGGCC